TAATGTCCTGCTTCAGCGTCACCCAAAGCATAACTGAGTAACATAATGAAACCAAAGTTAAATTGACTTTACTGCCACAGCTGAACATAACTAACACAATGACACTGAATCAATGTATATAATAATCATTTAACTGGAGACATAACAGAAACAAAAAACACTGGAAAATATAATTATATGCACTTACTGTCCTGGTTCAGTGGATTAAAGTAAATTAAAGTATTATTTATTTGATTAAATAATGGAATTTGTTTTATTAAATAATTACTCCCACCCCCCCCCGTAAAAGGTCTGGTCGGACAGAAGGGGCAGGTGCCCAGGCAACCTTACTAAATATTAATAAATATAAAGAGGTTCAGAATTAAATTATAAGGAAGCGGATCTATGCGCGATATTTATAAAATACCATGATTACTCCATTTTAACGGGACACTTTATTTTATGCAAGTTTGTAATTAGCATTTATTTGCATACTTTCATAATAAAAAGTCAACAATTTTATGAGGCATAAATCATCCATATATTTTGCAGGAACAGAAATCGCGCCGCTGAAGTTCAGCACTTACCCGTTTGAGATGAATGTGATGTTGCCGTTTCCTGCCCGGCGACCTTTAAAAATCCATGACAGCAGCGATTAGATGCAGCGTGTGCAGCGGCCATATTTACGAACAAAATCAAGCTGCTAAGACTTAGTTTGTGGTTAATTAATACAGAAGTAACAGCATAATACTACATTATTTGTGCCCCCTCAGGTAAAGTGTTACTGATGAAAGCCAGTAAATAACAGTGCGAGCATCACGCCAGATGCGTTAGAGTTGGTAACCCTGGGTTCAAAGCCGAGTAAATGTGCTTTAAACTGCTTTATTGTTCTTTCATTCCACAAAAAGATGAACATCAGACTGTCAAGGTTGCGGGCGGCTCGGGAACGAGGCATAGTGCAGGCACAGAAGAAGGGCGGACGACCCACTAGCGGCTCAAAGAACACAAAACAGGGTTTATTAAACAAAACAGAAAACACTAGAAACAACTAACCAAAAACAAAGGACCATGAGGGGTCAAAAACTGAGGAGATTAAACAATACTAAATAACAAAAACCGAATACACGTAGAACACTGAAAATATCTAAACCATCAAACATCGCAACCATCGAACAAAAACAATCAACAAACCACTAGAGAACAGAACAGAAGTAGGGACTTAGCCTACAGAAACCAAAACTGGGTAATGAGACTAACACAGGACAGTCGAGACTAATTAACAGAGACCAGGAAAACAGGGCACAGGTGAAACTAATAAACTCAAAGGAACTAAAAACAGGGAAACAGAACCAACCAAGGACACAGGGAAACAGAACCAACACTAGGGAATTTAAACAGGTAAAGACACAAGCAGGGGCACAAGGAACAAAACAACCAACTACAAAATCAGACACAAGAACTAAAGAAACTCAAATGAAACACTAGGGAGCCAAAATACAAAAACAGAGGAGGCAGGATTAGAACACAGGACAGAAGGGTACACAGACAACCACATGCTCAACACATTGAACCACATGACCAGACAGGTAACAGGGGAGAACAAAGACTAACATGAAGGACGGGATGACCAGCGACACCTGCTGGTCAAACGGGGAAGGGACACGGAAGGACCACAGCAGGGGCTGACCCTGACACAGACATTAAATGCTGCTGATAAAAATCTAAATTTCCAATAGCAATTTCCAATAGTGTGGAAAAGTCACTGGACCTCGTTATTAAACGTGCAAAATATCTTTGAAATAGGTTAATATTTTCAGGTTCTACAACGCGATCGAAGTTTTCACCTGTCACATCAATGCGCAGATCCACCCTATGTATCATCCATATCATAACGCAATGTAAAATTGTTCCAATTTAATACAAGAACCTAACAATCAATCAGTGACAATGAGTAAGTGGGAAACGACTCATTCAGAAATGTGGCGCTCAGGAGCATGTTTACACTGACATACTGGCAATACACACTATCCATTATCTATACCATCCATCCATCCATCCATTATCTATACCGCTTTATCCATCTGGGTCTTACCAAAAATATTAGGACACCGCACCAAATCATTGAATTCGGGTGTCCCAATATTTTTGGTAAGACCCAGATGGATAAAGCGGTATAGATAATGGATGGATGGATGGTATAGATAATGGATAGTGTGTATTGCCAGTATGTCAGTGTAAACATGCTCCTGAGCGCCACGTTTCTGAATGAGTCGTTTCCCACTTACTCATTGTCACTGATTGATTGTTAGGTTCTTGTATTAAATTGGAACAATTTTACATTGCGTTTTG